GGGTTTAATATTTTTCCTAGAACTTTTTTTTTTTTTTTTTTTTTTTTTTTTTTTTGTTTCCTCCTTTCCCAAAAAAAAAAAAAAAAAAAAAAAAAAAAGAGAGACTACGTGAATCTGGACAGATCCCTCAGAGGTATATGGGATGGAGTTTTTTCCTAAACAGCTATTATTTTCAATTTGGGGGATAGTAACTAATATTTTAGTGATTTTTATTGCTCTTTTGTATCTCACACTTCTTTCACTCTCAAAAAAAAAACAAACCAAGCACAGGAGAGCCAAGCTAAATTTCACTAAACAATCCAAGAATATTTTTCCAAGACACCTGGACCACAGTGACCAGTTTCTCCTGGCAGAAAACAGCCTGATGAAACAAATACAAGGCCAAAGCAAGTTAAAGACATGTAAACACTAGGGACTTTCAGGGAAGGAATCACTACTGTCTTTGTAAGTGAAGCAAATAAAAGAACAAGAGCAAAAATTAATGCCTCTTCTACAATGAAGTGTGCTAGTTAAATTCTCCTCTTGGCATCCGTGTTTTCCTCTGAAGACTGATAACACTAGGTAGCAGAAACACAGCTCAGCGTTCTTAAATTAGTTCTGTAATTAACTTAAATATGAAGACTTCCAACTAGAAAGCAAAGCAGTCAAGAAACAAATACAACCACTGCCAGCTTAGTTCCAAGTTCAATGAGTATAATCAGACTGAAAAGCTCTGTCTTACCTTTGAGGCATTAATGACAATATTTCTAGCAGATCCATGCTCATCTCCAGAGAAGGCAGGTTGATTACTGAAGCCTTGCTTTACGTTCACTGCAGTAAGTTCATCCTGCAAACAGTGTTTTAAGGGTAAACAATTAAATGGCAATTTTAAGAAGTCACATCATTCCGAAAAGCATGTTTTTATAAAGAAAATTTATGTATTTGCTAGTATGTCACACTCTGCATTCGCCTGAATCCTCAAAGCACTTTGCACATTCAGGGGATTTCAGTGAAGGGGAACACGATGACGCTCCTACCCTCCAGTCCCCATTAAGTGCTCACCTTACTACAGGCTTCCAGGCCATACCTTGATAAGGATGGCACTTGTTTTGCTGCAAGAGCATTGCTTCCTGTGAGAAGGGTAGCAGGAAACAAGGCCTTGGCAGCCCCTGTAAAACCCCCAGCACCCAGCCCTAAATCTTCCTCATGGAAGTGGTGGAAGTCACCAGCCATCCTGACTGTTGGAGGGAGAGCAGCACATCCTCCTCTCCTTGAGATACTCTGGGACTGCTGGGGCAACCTGCGGGGCTCCACAACAGAACACCCCTCATTACAGCCAAACCCACACGTCCCTTCCCCCAGCACAGACAAGTTTTTGCATCACTGTTTGTTGAAGTTTAAAATGTTACTATTTCAGATTGTGGCCCCACAACAATTGTTTGAGAATATCTACTGAAATAGGAGAGACCACCTCCAGCAGAAACAATTTCAAGTAAACATCTGTTTCTGTTGCAACTAAACCCAATTCTTCTGGATTTACCTTTGCAGCGGAAATATTACTACACTCCTGCTACAGTATCAACACACCTTCATTTTGCTGTGTACGGGTATTTACTTAGCTGGATCATATTTGCAGCAAGAGCACAGAATAGACAGAAGTGGGGTCAGTAGCATTAGGTGCAAACACAACCGAATCTTCACAAATACAGAATATAAACTTCCTACATGAGTCCCACCTTTGCCCCATCCTTCCCTGTTGCTTGGTTTTTTTTCACGCCGTATCTTTACCAAAGCTAATATTCTTCCATGGAGGCTGTGCAGTTCATTTACTTATTCAGGATCCGTCTGTCAGACTGAGGTTTACCTACACCAGATGAAAGGGAACTCGGCTTGTTTGTTTCCCCCACCAAATCAGTTACTTGCCCCCAAAGGTACTCAAGCTCAAATGGTCCATAAACCACTTGGGTCTGTAGGGGCAAGATACCAGAACAATCCCCAAGACAACTGTGAAATAACCTATGAAAACAACAAGCGACTGCTGTGCACCAAGCAAATAAAACAGGAGAAATAAAGTTAAGAATGTCATATTTTACCAGAAGACTTTGTTACTAGTTTGGGGCAACATCTCTCCCCAAAACCAGCAACCCAGAAGCTGCCATTCAGCTTAGTCTCCTACTCTGTGCAATGCATTTCGCTTTTCAGTATTTTCGCAAAGTTTGGGAGTAACACAGAAGACAGTAATGTATTTAGAAGACATCTAAGCTCTCTAGGGTTTATGAAGTTAGCAAGCCTCATCTGAATTTTAAATGAAATCAACAAGAAGTGCTGGAACACTCCTCCACCCACACTATCCCCAAGACAGCCTTGAAAACACAGTTAAAGGCAGAGATGAAAGTGATCAAAGATATTATAAGCAAATAAATAAAAGGTAAATGGCAAACAGATGGAGATATATGTTACTATTAGTGCCATTTCCACCGATGACCCCAGTTCTGTTATCTTTAAACTTCTCCTCCTTTGAAAAAAGCCGTCTAGATATCATTATGCTGAAAATAACTAAGAACCGTATGTTGTACTGCTATATCCACCACCACTGTAGGAACAAGCTGAGGATGGACTGACAACACAAACACATCAGTGTTTTGGTTTTGTCTGGCTCAGATTATTAGCTCAGATTTCTCCCTGCCTTCAGCAGCAGTTCAGAAATTCTAAACAGGGAACATAGGACAGTTGCATAACCAAACACCAACTAGAAATGAAAAGCCATGTCATCTGCGAACACAATGCACACAGATACCTTTTCAAACAAATTAACAATAAAATGGATGTTCACGGGAGGTCTCATTACGTCTCGCTTACGCCAGCTCCATTAAGGGCTCGGGGTCAATTTCTAAGAGCACAGCTGTCCCCCTAGCAGAGGGGAAAGTTTCCCGGCCACCAGCACAGCTGAATTGCACAATACTGAATGTCCCAGGGTTAAACATCCTTTCCCTCGGCTTGGTTTGCTCCCCCGCTGACAGGCACAGGAGCCCCGCGCGCTGCTGTCACTAAGTGACGCGCTCTGCGCCACAACGCGCCGGATCCGCCGGGCTCCCGCAGGGATGTCAAGCTTCCTTTCAAAATGTCAAGCAGGGCCCCAAGCGAGCCCAATCAAGGCTTAAAACCCTCTCGCAATTTTAAGTAGTCAAACGAACATTAAAGCCCCAATTGCGTTAATTCGTTTCAGAAAGGATTTCAATTGTTTCGTGGGGGATATTTAAGACCCACCAACGTATCTGCAGCACTCCGCTTCTGAACACACCAGGTACAGATGGGTATCTCTACAGAAGGAAAGCCCAACAAGTTCAGGCCAACGTTTGCAGGACCCGAGCATCATTGGCTCTGCCATAAGTCAGACCCCAACTTAAATCTGTGCGTGTCCACTCCATCACAGCTGTGACTCCTGCGAAGTGTGCTCAGAGGAGGCCACCTGTAGCACTGACCCAGCCGGCTGCACTCAGGGCAGTCAAATCTAGACCAAGAACAAATGACCGACTGTTAGGATCAAGCATTGAGGCGTTGTTATTGGAGCTCTGGACTGTATAATTCCATATTAACTTGCTTTTAATGAATAGGAGCGAGCTCTTTCAACTTCAGCATTCTCCTGCTTCCTTAGTACTCCAGCTACCCTTGCTTACTCCAGCACCAAGCCGCTAAGAGAGAAGCAGAAAGCTAATAATGTATAAACGTTTGGAAAAAACAGGAACTGGTCAGTTTATTCTGACATCTAAGCTGAGCAAACAATGTATAGAGCTATATCAGCACTATTTGACAGTTCAAAACATGGAATTTTTGAAAAGCATTCATTTTCTCCCTAACCTGCAAAATTTCCTTCAACAGAGAAATTTAAAAGAAGTTCATATTAAACTCATGAAAGAGTTTGGATCTTTTTAACCGATCATTACATTTAGATCCTCTCGCATGTTCCATCTTTTGCTTTTTGTCTCTTTATTACAAGAGGGCACCCACTTTCAGCAGCTTGGAGCAACCATAGCCTTAGCTTGAAGACCCAAACGCTCTGCAGGAAGGTTCAACCTGTGGTGTAGCTGCTGCGGCACAAGCCTTCTACTGTGTTGGGCTTGGTTTGAACGAGGTGAAAAAATAACTCCCTCAAAGAGACAGTATAAAATACTGTGCGAGTTACAGACTACTAAACAAGCTATATTTCGTGATGAGGAGAGGAATAATGATGTTTAGAGAAGCATTACCCACTCCAAATCAACAGCTCAGAAGTCGCAAACAATGATTAGCCCAACCCAACAGCCAACCACAGACAGAAGCAACTTTTGCTGGAGATGAAGACGATGACATACTGGCCATGTTACTAACAGATGCCGAGAGCAAGAAGATTTGTCTTTCAATTCCCAACCGGCATCAGGGGGACAATACCAGAGAGGTCTCTCTGACAGGAATTTCAACGTCTTTACCCATCCTACTGGTGAGAAGGTGGTCTGGGCTACTGGTAGTTGTAGACATTGGAGAATTGAGCCTTGGAAGGGTCAAAACCACTACGTGTGGAGAAGGCAATGAAATTTCTTCTGCCTGAAGGCTATTTCTCAGCATAAAATGATGTTGATTGTGCTTTTTTGTGCTTTGAAACCGAATTCAACTGAAGTTAAAAACGTTACAGGTAAAATTGTGATGTTCTGGCCCTGATGATACAGTATTCAGTGTTTTTATCTTTGGCTTGTAACAGACACAATTTGCATTATATTTGATCCATCTTAGGGAGACAGTAACAATTTAGAGCACAGGAAGTGTTACGAAAAAAAATTTGATTCTAACACCTGCCTTCAGATGCTCCTGCCAGAGCATGATTTCCAAACCTGCCTTTTGCTCCACCATCAGTGGCAGGGATACAGAGAAACTGTGTGCAAAGCACTGCCCAAGGTTCACAGAAAACACATTACAGAAAGACGAGGAAAGCTAATTCCTCACAATCTTTCTTTCTTAAAACAGTATCAGGTGCTGAAAGCAGCTCCAGCAGGTGAGTGCATTCAAGCAGAAGACCTGTGCTATGCAATTTGAAGACTTCGCCTCTGCCACCCCCTTATTTCTGCAGCGGGGATTCTGCGCACAGGGCACAGGGCTAAGCCTCACCCCAAGGCTTCCATGGGGGGACCTTGCAAAGGCTGCAGATTTCCACCTGGCACTTGGGTGAAGTGGCTCTGGAGCATGAGAGCCCAGGGTGCTTGGAGGTGCTGGCTCCTAGCAGAGAGGGAATTTGGAAAGGCACAGGGTGACAGCTGGCCACAGCAACGTCACCAGACAGCCCATTCCCACCTCTACTAGGACCTGAAACTCCAGATTTGTCTCCTTTTTCAAATGATAGACAGGCTTCCCCAACCCAAAGGCTGGAACAAGACAGGACTGTGTCCTGTAAATGCCCAGTGCACCAACACTGCCCACACACACCTGGAATGAAGACTTTCCCCAAGCTACACTTCAATCAATTACGCTACGACCCTGTTGCAGTTATCTCCTACTTACTAATGCACCCGTGTAACATATTTTAAATATTAACCATCTGGGCACTTGCCACTTCCACTCTTATTGTAACTGGCTGTGTATTTATAAATGTGCCTGTAAGAATCAATCCACCACCTGACTAAAAATATGCAACAGTCCAGAGCTAAAAATTCATCTCCATACATTGTCATGGCTGAGTTCAGAGGCAGTTCTGCAAGCCTGGTCACAATCACGTGTGAAAAATACACATGAGAGAAATATTTCTAGGCACCGTAATCATCAAGTCCGTAAGCGTGATGAGTAGCGGCGTAAGGGTGAAAAGACAGAAAGATGCTAGAGGTCAAAAAATTGAGCTGTTTCTCTAAGGATTAGTAATGGACTTGAATAGACATCTTTTACGGCATGGTGTCCAAGCCCTTCTCAACCAGCACTGACCAACAGTCACTCTCTCATGAGTGCTTCTCAGCCTACGTGAACCAGGTGATGATGCTCGTACACAGCTAACAGATTATCCTTCATTAGACTCCTTTCTGGAAGCCTCACAAGAAGGCAACTGACCAGGAAGAGAGCACAGTGAGAAGAACCCTGCATATCTGCCCTGCCGTACTTGCTCAGTTCTCCATCCTCTAGACACATCAAACTGACAACTTCCACAAGTACCAATTCACTGGGACAGAAGACGGCGAGGAACACCAGAAGAGGAGGACATCCCAGACCAAGCACACAACAGACAGGGATATCTGGCGCACACAGCTTCGTGGACGAGTGAGTCACAGCCCAGGACATCAGGCAAATCTCAGAGACCCACTGACTTTTCCAGGAGACACTCCAGTCACAAAACCCAACCAGAGGCTTCTTCCACCCACCCCTGGAGGGCTGGTGGCCCAGAAGCAAGACTGGGAAGCTGGGATGGGGAGAGCCTACAACCAACCCTGTAGCTTTGCAGGACATGCCAGCCATGTCACAGCGCTTGCCTGAACTACACACTCACCCCCAGCACCAACCGATGGTGGGTCTCCATGGGTTTGATCATGGTACCCAGAAGTACAACAGCGACAGTCTGACGCAAGAGTACGAGCTACAGCCCCGCTCAGCCCTGTCCTCTGGTTTTGACCTCCAAAACCCTCCAGACCTTTCATTCCTCCAACCACCCGTCCCTGCCGTCAGGTCAGGAACACGGGTGGGCAGCTCAGCAGACCCATGCTCACCCCAACCAGTGGCACCTCTCACCCTCTGCTCGACCCCTCATGGGCCAAGGGTGCCCCTCAGGGCAGATGGCCGTGGCTGTCACGGGCTGCGGGTGCCCCTCACGGGTCCCTGTCCCTCACGGGCCAGGGGCCCCTCAGGGCAGATGGCCGTGACCCTCAGAAGCTGGGGGTGTCCCTCACGGGCCCCCGCCCCTCAGGGCAGGTAGCCCGGCCGGCGGCCCGGCCCCTCTCCCGTCACCGCCGCCCCGCAGGGCGAGCCCGGGCGCCGGCCGGGCCGCGGGGAGGGCGCCGAGGCCGAGGGAGCGGTGAGCGGGGCCGCCGCCCCCGCCGCCCCGCAGAACA